CTTGCAGGTATCAGGTGTTGTGACTCAGCAATGAGAAAGTAGACAGATGACAAGTGAAGTACAGTTGGCTAATCATTCAGCTGACTCTGCCTGTCAAACAGCAGACCAGAAGGTGCCTATTATTTATCTTAGTGAAGTCCTAAAAATCTTGAGTATTTTAAATAGGGAGATCTCCTCTTCTTTTTTTTAATGCAGATTTTCCAAGTTCGATTTGTTTTTGTTTATTTGCTTGTTTGTTAATAAGAGCTACTTGCATTATTCCATACACAATCCCTGCCACAGTCTTTACCACTCCCTAACCCCCAGCACTGGGGATTTTTCCTGCTTGCACAGCCCTTGTGTTTAAAGAATTCTTATAGCATACAAATCCTCATACTGGGTGTGCAAAGGTGAGAAAAACAAAAGTGAGCTACAAAGACTTGAGAGCTGTACTCTATCTGGCATGCTCAGTCAGTCACCTTCTTGCAAGGCAGGTCCAGTCTTCTTTGGCCCACAGCAGGACACACCCGGCTGGCCTGGGCCACGTGAATAATTGTTATGCACAGCGTGTAAAACAGTTAACATACATAAACGATAAAACTTCTGTTTTTGTATTCTTCATTGTAACAAAGGGGTACTGGGAGTTACTCAAATTGTTGACTCTAGGTTTGCGTCTTAACTCCATCTACCAGGCCAATGTCCCACACAGGGCCACATCAGAAAGCCAAAGCCGAGGGCAGCTGCTCACCTATGGACGGGGCTTTGCACTGGGAACCAGGCTGACCTGGACTCATTCCTGTAGGCTTGGAATCACGTGGTTTTTATTTAGAAAGAAATCACAACAATGACAACCAAACACAAATTTTTGGAATGCTTTCACTCGAATCTGTCCTTATTTGTGCTTGAGTAGTAGTCCACTGTGTATACATTTATTTATCCATTTTCTTATCCATTCATCTGTTGATGGTCATGTAGGCCACTTCCAGACTTAGCTATTATGAATTGTACTGCTATAAATATGGTGTGCATGGATCACTGTAATATGATGCAATATGATCACTCTTTCAGGAAGACACCGAGAAGGGGAATAGTTGGGTCAAATGGTATTGCTAGTTTGGGTTCTCTGAGCAGTCTCCATACTGATTTTCATAGTGGTTTTACTAGTTTACATTCCCACCAACAATGTAGAAGCATTCTTTTTTCCCCACAGCCTCGCCAGAATTTGTTATTATTAAATTTCTTGGGGCCGGGGATTTAGCTCAGTAGTTTTGCTGCCTGCCTCACAAGCACAAGATCCTGAGTTAGATCTCCGGTACCAAAAAAAAAAATTCTTGATGACAACCATTCTTTCTGGAGTAAAGTAGAATATCAGTTTGTTTTAATTTGCATTTCTTTAATGGCCAAAGATGTTGAGGCATTTGTAGGAAATGGATGCACCTCAAGACCATAATGTTAAGTGAAATAAATCGGACATAAGCCTATGTATCACATGGTTTCACTTAAATGAGAAACCCAAAGTATAAATAATTTAAAGAGCAAAATAAAGGACAGATAATATGAAACAGGGAGATAAATCACCTGCAAATGGAAAAGGGAAATAGAGATGGAAAAAGAGGTGGAAAGGGAGGGAGGGCGAGGGGAATCAAAAAGAATTAAGATGTGTTACGTACATGGATCAAGTCTCCACGAGAAATGTGATCATTATGTTCAGCAATCACACAAGTATATGTAATATAAAATATACAATGAAATGCTGTTACTCAAGAGAGCCCAATTTTTAAGTCTGATGTACTCAAAATAAACAATCACGAAAAACAGGTAATGGCTTTTAATTGGAGAATCAGAGACCTGGAGGGGTCCAGCGTCAGGATGAGGGCTGGGGCTGCATGGGGGAAAACTGAGTCATGAATAGTCCATGCAACACAACCAGTACTCGTAGTCCTTCCTGGTCAGAACTGGAAAAGCGGCCACAAAGCCGGCCCACACGTTGGTACACACACCGTGTTGGCACGGACCAGCAAGCTGACTGAATTCACAGGAGCCATGAGATGTGTCCTGAAGTAAGCAGACTACAAAACCCCACTGCTGCAGAAAAGGAGAAAGTCCACACCTGCCAAGCTGCAAAGCTGCTGCTTGGCACACGTCGCAAACACACCAAGTTGTCTCCTAAAAACCCCCTGCACCCATTCGGCCTTGCAACAGGAAAACAGTCAAAGCCAAATGACCAGGTCTGCCTCCATCTCCAAAATCCTCCCCCTTCCCAGGCTGGAGATCAGGGGTCATCTTGGATTCTTTCCTTTCCTCTATCCACAAGCCATGGTGTAAATTCGATGTCTGAAATTCTCCTGGAGTCCCTCTATTTAGTAAGAGGATTGGTGCCTTGGTGCACATCAACAAACCCACTTTGCCCCACCAAAGACCACTCAAAAATAGGGAGTAGGTCAAGGATGACTCCATCTAAAGAGCCATTTTAATTTAAAAGCTCTGATAACACCTCGTATACCAAAATACTGTATATGACAGGGGTGTGCCAGGCAAAGTAGCTGGGGCCAGTAGTCCCAGGTACTTGGGAGGCTGAGGTGGGAGGACTGCTTATACCCAGGAGTTCAAGGCCAGGCAGGGCAACATAATAAGATCCCACCTCAAAAAAAAAAAAAGAAAGAAAGAAAAAAAGAAAAAGCATTGTACATTGTACGCTATCTCACTCCTTAAGTTCCTTAAATAGATTCTCCCAAGCTAGATGTGGTGAGAAAGAACGCTATGCATGCCCTACTGCCCTGTCTCCCCCAGCCCCCACCTGCTACTTTCCAAACATCTTATTAATCAATTATTAATTGTGGCAGCAACCACATTTTTATCACTTGACAGCCTTAATAGCCATCTTCCGGAGGAGCACGCAAGCCTCCTCTCAGATGCCTGGTCTTGTTATGAGAATGCTTTGCGTATGAGCTCAAACCAGCACAAAATGAAGAAAAAGCATTCATGAGGTGATGCTGAGCAGCAGCCCTGGCTGGGGTGACATTGTCCCCAGGAGGGCACACAGGCCAGGGCAGCAGAGCAGGGACCCCTCCGATGGCTCGGAGCCAGGGTTTCACTGTCCCTGATAACATGTAGTCTCATTTGTGCCTGCAAAACGGAACAGGGTTAAATTCTCCTAAGCACTAGTCTAAAAGTAATAATAAGAACAATGCAAACACTTAGACAAAAGATGATTTTGTGGGGGTGAATGTGTGAAGGAGCTTCCTGTCCCCCAAGTATCTTTTTTTTTTTTTTTTTGGTACCAGGGATCAAACTCGGGACCTTGTGCTTGTGAGGCAGGCACCAGAACCACTGAGCTAAATCCCCAGCCCTCCCCAAGTATCTTCTAATTCACTGTTTTGCTTAAAGGCAGAATAATCATGATTTTTATAATGCTTGGAGTACTTGAACAGTACACTGGCTTTTAATGGACCTAAGCGGTTTTCTCCACTTGGAGATATGTTCCTATAATCAACTATCCTCAAGATACTTTTACCAGTGTTTCAAAGATGGAAATGGTTTGTAAGCTACAAAACACTGTTCCTATGAAAGGGGACATCTCCCTTCCTAAAGCAGAAAGCCAAACGTTACCAGTGTCTATTTCACAGAACACTGAGGTCAAACTTTCAAGTCAAGTTCAACTATATCTTCTCAGTTCCAACTTTCCGTCTGCAATGAGACTTGACCGGGGTCCTTCCGGCGTCCTCCACCGAAGTCCTACTTAGGGACATCTGACCCTCTTGGTGTCTGTCACCAGCTCCATCCTTGCCGATGCCCACAGCCACGGAGCTGATCTTTTTCATCCGTGCTAATTTATTCACACTATCTCAAGCCTTCCACTGTCGCCCCTCTATGTCACCACTGAATATTTCCTAGCTGGCATTCGCCTGGCCCAATGTTAGCTCCTCTCCCTAATGAAGAACTGCTTCCGGGTCTCTTTCCAAACTTTATAAACTAAATTTATCTACTCCACCAACCCCAGTCCTGCTCACACTCCCAGGCCACCACCAGCAGTGTTCTTCCCTCCTTAAAACAATGCCCTAAAGAATACATATGCCTCAGGGGGGGCTTCTCAGTCTCTCCCTGGGCTCGGAGAAGGGAACTGGACACATTGGAAGGATGGGGAACAGAGAGGGCTGCTGGGTCCTACACGGCCTCCCTCACCTGGCTTTCAGGTCCCGGACAAGGACTCCAGGGCTTTCCACCTGCAAATCATCTCAAAAAGGCACGGATGCTCCCAAGTACTGCTTCACTGCCTGCTGAAGGACTCGGCCCTGTGTTTGCCCAACATGCCCTGACCCACGCAGGGAGCCGTGCCAGGCCCCAGCAGCCCACCCTCTCCTAAAGAGGAGTCAGGCTATCCCTGGAGCCCCCAAGTCACTCGGGGACTGCAACCAACTAACCGAGGGCATGGCACACCTGGGACTCTCCTGATGCACAAATAAATACACTACTTTCTCCTTAAAGAGGAAGTGGAGGCAGCTCCTTAACTTTGTTTAACTCAGTCTTCACCAGAACACTTCCCACCATTACCTTTATGCAGAAACCAAACTGAAAGCTCGTCCTAGAGGTGGATCAGGCTTAATACCTCCCGCGACCCCGATTCGGCCCTGAGGGATTCCAGTCGGGGGCAGCAGGAGACAGGACGCAGGTGCGGCCCACACCCGCCGCCGGCGGAGCTCCTCACACTCAGACCCTCCCTCCGCCCATCACACCAGGCCTGAATCCAGGCGCGCCCCTCCATCTGTCTGCCCCGGAACCCTCCCAGGGAAGGGGAGGAGAACACACCACGGGGCCACAGGACGCTCCTCCAGCCCAGCACAGTACAGGCGCCGTGGCCTGGCCTCTGGGCGCCTGCAGGGATGGGAAAAACTCAAGTTTGAGCGCGGGCCCCACAGACCAGGGCTGAGCTCGCCGCGCCCCGCGCAGGGCCCAGACCGTGACCCCGCGGCCTTTCCTCGGCTCGGTCTGGGGCGCTGCCCCTAGCGTGCATAAAGGCTTACGGGGGACAAAGCCGGTTCGCAGGACTTGAATCCAGGACCCGAGGAGGCGGAGCAGGGACCGGCGCGCTGTCAGACCCGAAGCCCGTCCTGTCGCACCGAGGCCACGCCCGGCCCCAGAGGCCGGAGTGGGCGGGGAGGAAACCACGCGTCCGTCAGGCGCTTACCTGCGGGCGGAGTTGGGGTGGGGTTGGGGTGGGGTTGGGGTGGGGTTGGGGGGGGGGGGGGG